TAGTTGTAGCTCCCGACAGGTAGCTAGTGGTGAAAAGGATTTGTATATGATTTGTTGTTTCTGTTAAATTTCGTGCCCAGATGCATTAAAAATATATAAACAAAAACACAAAGTAATCTGAGTGTTCTAATTGTTAATCTTGTGGCTTGTGCGAGAGATTGCTCGAATTCACACTGCAAACAACTTAATGAAAGGCATCCCGGCAACAAGCGACCAACAACAACAAAAAAGAAGCCTTGCGGCGTTTGTAAATGCTGCCCTTCCAAGACACAGCAACGCAATCACACTCAACTAGTCTGGACACCTTGCTCTCTCTTCTGCACGTGTTTCATTGTACAACGTGCGCCTTTGCTAAAATATGTGTCTTTGTAGTTGCACTTTCGTTCAGTTGTCAATTTGTTAGAATCTTGATCACTGCTTCAATCCGTAAGGGAACATGCATCAAGAGACAAAAGAGAACGACCGACAAAGGGCGCGCTTGCTCTTTTTCTTTATAAGGCGTTGCTTGGAAGTTGAGGCTCGGGGGTGCAGGGGGAAAGACAGCGCCGGGCAGGTGGCTGCGCACGGAAGCAGCATCGCAGCGCTGCAGAGCTCGCTGACCACGGGTCTCTCCAACAAGGCCGACCAGTCGGCCTTCGACGTGCTGGAGGGCGTGGTGGCCACGAAGAGCACCCCCGACGGCGTGGACCTGAAGCTGTCGAACTACAGCACCACGGCTGCCATGAACGGCTCCATCGCCTCGGCCAACAACGCCACGCTGGCCACGGTGGCAGCAACTACGGCCTCAAGACGGTGGTGGACCAGCACTCCCTCGACATCGCAGCAAGGCCAACGCTCTCCTGGGCGTCGTGTCCGCCACAGCGCTGGCCTCCGAGCTCACAAGTCGAGACGCCTCCATCTCGGGGCTGCAGGCCTCCAAGGCGGACGCCAGCGCCCTGACCGCGTACGCCCTGCTGTCGGCCGTCGACACTTCCTCTGAGGTGAACTCTAAGATAGCGGCAGCCCTCCTAGACGCAGTCACCACGGCAGTTCTCGACGCCGCCCTCGCCGGCAAGGCGGACGCAAGCGCGCTGGCCGCCCTGCTCTCCACGGTGGACGGGTTGGACACGCCGCTGGAGGTAGACACCAAGATAGCAAATGCCCTGCTGGGTCTCGCCACCGAGGCCTTCGTCGCAGCGCAGCTATCTGGTAACACTGCACGACTTTGTTTTTTCGGTTGTGTTGTCGTTGGCGACAGCAGGAATTGCCCTTCGCCTCTTCAACATAAAGCTTCCGCAACTCCATGCGCACCACATTGTTGACAAAACTGCATCTAGAACCAGCTCTGCACCCGCAGTTGAACAGTTGCTGTCGAATGATCTATTTGTTGGAGCTCCTTGCCTTGGTTGTTCAAACTTACTTACTCAGGCTGCTAGTGGAAATAAACAGCTCTCAAATGTTGTTGCCGTTCAGTGATCATGAAACACAACTGCATCTCACACTGCTTGCGCGCCAGCCTTGGCTTCAAGCAAGGGCAAGGCAGATTGAAGACTGCTTTGGTAACACAGCAGGACATGCCGCGACATTCCGACGACGAGTATGGCAGTGTGGCGCTATACTTGTTCATGAATGTCAATTTCGACTGGCATGTCTTGGCGCACCGAAGGTGCAGCGGGTTTCTTGCTACACCTGCTGGAGGCATAGTTTCAGCAGATCTTGTCTACAGGCATGGTGAAACTGGCAGGAAGATGCGGCCAAGAATGCCGCCTTAAGGGAACTGCGAGAAGAGGCTGGGTTGCATCTGGACTCCAGCGTCACGGGCCTTTTCACGCTACGACGCTGATAAACCAGAAATTTCAGGACAGGTTTGGGAAAGTGCATGGGGTTGGGGCGTGTGAAAAGCTGCATGTCCCTGTACGTTTGTTCTAACTATTGCAAACACTGTTCAAGCAATGCCCCTGCAGGAAGGCAAGCGGAGAAACGTAAACCACATCAATTTCGGCTTCGTCTTGCCGTCTTTCTGCCACGATACACTAGAGGTCCATGGCCCTCAACGCAATGGCAAACACGAGCTCCTGCCACACGGGATGGCCAATGTGGATGGGGTCTCAACAAAGCCGCTCGAGAAGAATTCCGGGCACAAGTGGGTGAAGGTCAACACGATGCTGAGTTATCGCGACCTCTATGACCTTTGCAGGACTCCGCTTGCAGACTTCCTGGACAGAGTGGACCAAGCCGCTGTGGCAACACAGCGGCCATCACACAGGGCACTGGAAAGCATTGAACGAATGCCGCTGAAGTCGGTCCTCATCGCGAGCGAGATGCTGGCGAATCTCCTGAAGCTGTCGCATGTGGCTGGCACAAAGTCATTGGAGTTGGCCACTCCATTGGTGCAAGCCCCGTATGATGTCCTGAGGAACAACATCGGGAGATTGACCAAGCGTTCAAAGTGGGAAAAACACGGGAGGAGCCAGAGCACCCACCCCCTTGCAAAGGACCCAGCATTGGTGGAGATGATGGT